CTTTCCCTTCTTCAGGGGATCTTCCCAACCCAGGGATCGAACTGGGGTCTCCCGCATTGCAGGCAGATTCTTTACCAGCTGAGCCAGAAGGGAAGCCCCCAGTGCCTGAGGGCCACTGGAAACAGAGTGAGCTGCATGCAGCAACTTGACGCCAAGCTACAGATCTGAGAAGGAATCAGCCAGGGGACAATGACCGGAGGCCAAGAGACAGCCACGCACTCTAGGTCCTCTGCCGCTTACACTCGGAAGAGTGTACAGCTGGTAATCGTTTACCATGGAGATGAAGGTTTTAGAAAAGCTCTATTCAGAAAGGTTCAGGAACAGCCATGGGTTCTATGAAAAGAAGTGTAGAAAGCCAAAAAGTGGAAATCAGGGACAAGAGGATGAGACCGAGGAAAAAGATGACATGGAAGAGCACAACTGATTACATTTAACGGGTATTGGCCTCATGTTGATTTGGGCTTGAATTCTTCTCTTCCATTTGTAAGATGTGTGGCTCTTAGCCCATTTGGGTGCTATAACAAAATACCATGGACCTGGTGGCTTAAAAGGAAACAAATGTATTTCTCACAGTTCTGGAAGCTGGGAAGTCCAAGATCAAGGCGCCAGGAGAGTCAGGTTCTGATGAGACTGTTCTCGTTTCAGAGTCAACACCGTCTCACTGTGTCCTCAGGTGGAGGAAGGCGCTACTGATCTCTCTGGTGCCTCCTTTAAAAAAGCACTAATCCCACGCATGAGGTGTCCTCCTTCATGACCTAATTACCTCCCAAAAGCCCCACCTTCCAACACCATCGCATATGAATTTGAGGTGAATACAGACATCCAGACCATAGCATTAGCCTTGAGCAAATCACTTAACTAAGCCTAACTTTTGGTTTCTTCATTTATAAAATAGGAATAAAGAAACTTATTTCATAAGGCTGCTTTGAGCTTTAATGAGCAACAATGAGAAAGTACAGGCAAAAACACTAGGACAGCTGGGCATGCAGTAAATATTTAATAAACAGTAGTCATTGTTATTACTAACAAGTTTAGAAGGAAAATGAAGTGAATGAGGCAAAGAAAGGATTACAAAGATACTAAAAGCACAATTAATAATAATCTCCACTGAAGATATTAAAGAGCAGAATTTAAACTGCAGAAATGTCGAACTGGTAATGCAGAAGAGCTCCAGAAGACTGAGAAAAGGGATGAAAAACTAAGGCTGATAAAAGAAAAGCTGAGTCAGTAATTCAACTTACTAATTAAAGACATTTTTGAGAAACAAATCAAGCAGAACAAAGTAATAAGCTAAAATAGGAACAAGGAAGACTTCCTGATGTGAAAAATAATCTCAGCATTCAGATCAAAGGGCTCACTGTATTTCAGGCAAAATTAATTTTAAACTATTTTAAAGACCCACTCCCCCTAGATATAATTAAGCAAAAATGTAAACTATGGAGATCATTTTTCTAAGCCTCCTATAAACGTTCCAGGGACCAGAAGGATCTTTCAAACAATCTGTAAAGTGTTCCAGAACATAGAAAAATATGGAAAAACTTCCAAAATATATCATGATGTGTAGAACCAATACAACAAAACCCAACAGAGAGAAAAGAAACCTCCTACTTCATTTTCACTTTTAAATTTATGCAAATATTCTAAATAAAACCATAGCAAACTGTAATTAGCAGTGTAATAAAAATACATGCATACTATAAAGTTGGACTTACCCAACAAGTAATCCAAGTCTTTGCCCTAACCAGTGTTGCCAAAGAGGCTGAAGTTGACTGTTTCTATGAAGACCTACAACAACTTCTAGAACTAACACCAAAAAAGATGTCCTTTTCATCCTAGGGGATTGCAATGCAAAAGTGGGAAGTCAAGAGATACAGTAACAGGCAAGTTTGGCCTTGGAGTACAAGATGAAGCAGGGCAAAGGCTAACAGCATCTTGCCAAGAGACTGGTCATAGCAAAAACCCTTTTCCAACAACCCAAGAGATGACTCTACACAAGGACATCACCAGCTGGTCAACACCAACATCAGATTGACTATGTTCTTTGCAGACAAAGATGAAGAAGCTCTACACAGTCAGTAAAAATAAGATCCGGAGCTGACTGTGGTTCAGATCATGAGCTCCTTACTGCGAAATTCAGGTTTCATTGAAGAAAGTAGGGAAAACCACTAGGTCATTCAGGTATGAAGTGAAAGTCACTTGGTCATGTCCAACTCTTTGCAACCCCAAGGAATTCTCCAGGCCAGAATATTGGAGTGGGTGGCCTATCCCTTCTACAGAGGATCTTCCCAACCCAGGAATCAAACAAGGGTCTCCTACATTGCAGGTGGATTCTTTATGACCTAAATCAAAGCTTTTATGATTATACAGTGGAGGTGATGAATAGATTCAATGGATTAGATCTGAAAGACAGAATGCCTGAAGAAGTATGGATGGAGGTTCATAACAGGAGGCAGTGACCAAAACCATTCCAAAGAAAAAGAAACTCAGGAAGGCAAAGTGGTGGTCTGAGGAGGCTTTACAAATAGCTGAGAATAGAAGAAAAGCAAAAGGCAAGGGAGGAAGGGAAATATATACCCAGTTGAATGCAGAGTTCCAGAGAATAGTAAGTAGAGATAAGAAGTCCTTATGAAATGAACCATGTAAAAAAAAAATAGAGGAAAACAATAGAATTGGGAAGATTAGAGACCTCGTCAAGAAAACAAGATATCAAGGGAGCATTTAATGCAAGGACAGGCATGATAAAGAACAGAAAGAGTAACGACCTAACAGAAGCAGAAGAGATTAAGAAGTAGTAGCAAGAATAAATAGAAGAATTACACAAAAAAGGTCTTAATGACCTGGATAACCATGACGGTGTGGTCACTCACCTAGAGCCAGACATCCTGGAGTGTAAAAGTCAAGTGGGCCTTAGGAAGCATCACTACAAACAAAGATAGTGGAGGTGGTGGAATTCCAGCTGAGCTATTTAAAATCCTAAAAGATAATGCTGTTAAAGTGCTGCACTCAATATGCCAGCAAATTTTGAAAATTCAGCAGTGGCCATAGGACTGGAAAAGGTCATTTTCCATTCCAATCTCAAAGAAGTGCAATGCCACAGAATGTTCAAACTATTGTACAATTGTGTTAATTTCATGTGCCAGTAAGGTAATGCTCAAAATCCTTCAAGCTAGGCTTCAGCAGGATTTGAACTGAGAACTTTCAAATGTGCAAACTGGATTTATAAAAGGCAGAGGGACCAGAGATCAAATTGCCAACCTTCATGGGATCATGGAGAAAGCAAAGGAATTCCAGAAAAGCATCTGTTTCATTGACTATACTAAAGTCTTTGACTGTGTGTAACACAACAAACTGTGGAAAATTCTTAAATAGATGGGTAATCCAGGCCACCTTACCTGTCTCCTCAGAAATGTGTATGCAGGTCAAGAAGCAACAGTTAGAACCAGATATGGAATAAATGACTGGTTCAAAACTGGGAAAGGAGTACAACAAGATTGTATATTGTCACCCTGCTTATTTAATTTATATGCAGAGTACATAAAATGCAAAATGCCAGGCTGGATGAAGCACAATGTGGAATCAAGATTGCCAGGAGAAATATCAATAACCTCAGATATGCAGATGATACACTCTAATGGCAGAAGGTAAAGAAGAACTAAAGATCCTCTTGATGAGGGTGAAAGAGGAGAGTGAAAAATCTGGCTTAAAACTTAGCATTCAAAAAACTAAGATCATGGGATCTGGTCCCATCATTTCATGGCATGTAGATGGGGGAAAACATGGAATCTGTGGCAGATTTTATTTTCTTGAGCTCCAAAATCACTGCAGATGGTGACTGCAGCCATGAAGTTAAAAGACACTTGCTCCTTGGAAGAAAAGCTGTCACAAACCTACACAGCATATTAAAAAGCAGAGACATCACTTTGCTGAAAAAGGTCCACATAGTCAAAGCGGTGGTTTTCTCAGTAGTCATGTATGGATGCGAGAGTTGGACCACAAAGAATTGACGCTTTTGAACTGTGGTGCTGGAGAAGACTCTTGAGAGTCCCTTGGACTGCAAGGAAATCAAACCAGTCCATCCTAAAGGAAATCAACCCTGAGTATTCATTGGAAGGACTGACGCTGAAGCTGAAACTCCAATACTTTGGCCACCAATATGAAGAGCTGACCAATTGGAAAAGACTGAAGGCAAAACGAGAAGGAGGTAACAGAGGATGAGATGGTTTGATAGCATCACCGACTCAATGGACATGAATGTGAACAAACTCAGGGAGATAACAGAAGACAGAGAAGCCTGCCGCGCTTGTGTCCATGGGGTCACAAACAGTCAGACACTACTGAGCGACTGAACAAGGAGTCTAATGAGAAGAGGGGGAAAACACATACTTAACAGATGAGGAATCAGAATGACCTTGCCATAATGAAAACGGTTTTCAAAAATTTTCTTTCTCCATTTTGTTTTTCCTACAGTCAACTTGTATAACTTTATTGTCAGAAAATTTTAATATAAAAAAATCTATACTTGGGAGACTTTAGCCCAAATTTAAATAGCTCCATTGAAGTGTTTTCAAAATGTCACAAATCTTAATAATGTCACAATCTGTCTTGGCATTGACATAGAGACCCCCAAGTCAGGGGAAGTCCTCTTCATAAAGGATGCCTGGTCCGTAGAGACTGCTGGGAACAAGTCACTCCAGGCACTCACTGCCCAGCGGCCCTGCACAGGAGGGATATCTACTCACACTCACACTTACCCGGTTACTAAGAGCTTGTTTTCAGGTAAACTCGAAGAACAGTTTGATATCTGAAGGGAGAGGAAGGAAGGCTCATAATCTTTTTTCCTCAGACACATTTTTCTATCCATTATTACCATGTCTCCACTCTTGCAGGTAGCATTTATTTTAATAAGAAACTGCTAAATGTTCCAATTTATCTTCATTCCATTTATCGAATACCACATCTTAAGCTATGCCAAGAGATGATTTTCCTCCTGACAGACTCACCTGTGGAGAAGACGAACACCGTGTTGTTCCAGAGCCCGCGGCTTTCCAAGGCCGCGGTGACATTTCCCACTGCTTCATCCATAAGGGACGCCATGCCTGCATAGTGGTGCCTGTTCTTATCTTGGATGAAGTCATAGGGCTTCAGGTATTCCTCGGGGACCTGAAGGGGCTCATGGACAGACTGGAGAGCAAGGTAGAGAAACAGAGGCTGGAAAGAGAATTTGCGCAAATCAGTTAGGTGGGCTTGGAAGCATGAAACATACAGAGAGAAGTCCAGATTCATTGGTTAATAAAAGCAATACTGAGACAACCCACAGACTGGGTTGAAAATATTTGTACATCATGTATCTGATCAGGGATATGTATCCAGAACATATTAAGAATTCTTACAACTTGATAATAAAGCTCAATTAAATCAATTACAAAAATGGGCAAAGAATTTGAATAGATATTTCTCCAAAGAAGACATACAAACAGCCAATAAGTACATGAAAAGATGCTCAACATCATTAGTCATCAGGGAAATACCAAAAAAACCCACACTGAAGTACTACTTTATACCCACTGAAGAAAAGAAAGAAAGTTAGTCACTCAGTCGTGTCCGACTCTATGTGACCCCATGGGCTCTAGCCCACCAGGCTCCTCTGTCCATGGAATTCTCCAGGCAACAATACTGGAGTGGGTTGCCATTTCCTACACTCACTAAGATGGTTTTAATTTTAAAAATGGGAAAGAAGAAGTGTGAGTGAGGATGCAGAAAAATTAAAACTCTCATTCACTGCTGATGGGAATGTAAAATGGTATAGCCAGTTTGAAAAACAACTTGGCAGTTCCTGAAATTGTTAAACATAGAGTTACCATATGAGCCAGCCTTTTCTCTAGAGAAACAAAAGCATATATCCACACAAAAATTTGTACATGGATGGCCACAGTGGCATTATTCATAATAGCCCAAAAGTGGAAGCAAAATATCTACCAATTGATGAATGGATTAACAAAATGTGGTATATTTTCAGCAATATACAGCAATTAAAGGAATATGATGCAGGCATAAAAAGGAATGAAATAGTAGCACATCCTATAACATAGATGTCTCTTGAAAACATTAAGTGAAGGAAACTGATCACAAAGATCACATTTATATGGTTTCATTCATATAAAATGTCCAGAACAGGCAAATCTATGGAGATAGAAAATAGATTAGTGGTTGCCTGAAGCTGTCTGGATTTCTGAGGGAGAGGAGTGATGAGTGATGGCTGACAGGTACAAGACTTCTTCCAGGAGCAGTGAAAATGTTTCAAACTTAGCTTGTGGTAATGGTTGCACAACTGTGAGTTTATTATTGAATTGTGTACTTTAAATGGATGAATTTTATGAAAAAGCTTGAGTTCTAAAATTGCCTAGATTTAAACAAATGGAAATAATAATACCAACAATTCTGTCTCATGTAATATTCAAAAACCACCTTGTTACAACCATTTTACAGGTAAGTTAATTGAGGCTTAGATAAGCTTTACGGCTTGCACAAATTCATATTAATTGCAAAGCAACTGCCTATTGGAAATTCCAGTATTACTGTGTGGATATGTCTCAATAGATGGGTTAGCTTTCTGCTTTAGCTGAAAAATAAGTGACCACCTTTTAGGAGAGGTTTAAGCATTATCTACATTTTCATAAGAAAACAAGTGAACCATAAGGCCAATTTAATTCCTGGAAACTGAGGGGGGTGATACACAGATTCTATTTTACTTCTGACATCAATTTACAGAATTTAACATTAGTGGTATTCTGGGTTAGCCTCTTCCTTTTAATGAGTCTTTCTGAAGGTACTCTTTTCACTGTGCTCCTATAGAATTCTTTAATGACTTGAAAACTCTCAGACAACTGACTCGACACAAGAAAAAAAACATAATTCTGTTGATATACTTGAGGCTTTTAAAACTCATAAAGAATGGAGGGCTATTAGAACACAGGCTGGAAGGTTGGCTTATATTTCATTCATTACTGTGGGAAAAAAACGTTTTAAATTATATATTATACATCCTTGTGATACCGTAATGGGTATACATATATAGAACTCAAATAGACACCCAAAAGAGTATTTTCAGTTCACCTCTCTGGAACTTAGAAATACCTTTTTCCCCAAATCAAAACGTTCAAAGTGACTGTTCAGTAAGAGGCAGGTGATGGAATGACAACCGTGATAAGGAGACCCTAGGCTTCATTTGTATGTTATTTCCATGGGAAGACATCCCAAATTCCTGCCCTCAAAAGGCAACACTGACAGCTCTGACACGGCTTTAGCTCCGCCTCTACTGCTGCTCAACACACGCATTCTCATCCAGCTACACAAAGTCCCACCGAACCTCCGTGCTCCACCAGACCACGGTTAAGGGAACCCCAGCAGATGCTCTGCCCAGCTGGGGAGGAAGGGCCCTGGGCTAAGATGTCTGGAGAGGAAAGAATGAGCAGGGACACCTGTGACTTGGCAGTGCAGTTAGGGTCTGAGTCTTCAGAACAAGACCGAGCCCATGCCACCAGCCCAGGTCTGGATGGGGAAGGATTAAAAACTGGAAGGCTACAACAATTTGCAACCCACATCAAGTTTAAGAGCCAGGAAATGTCACACTAAAAACCTGTTTTGTTTAGGTTTTTTTTCCCCTCAAAAAATCAGAACCTCTGATAACTCCAGGCCCACACTCCATCTGACAACAAATGGCTGGAGTACGAGAAACAGAGATCCCACCCACAAGGGCTCTCCAACTTCCCTGTCTCTCCACCGTCCTCTCTGAATGGCTTCACTTACTTAGGGTAGCAGCCTGGCCCTTGTTTGTGACTCTCATCTGGATGCTCTGCAGTGGGTAGGGGTAGAAAAATTATGGAGGGAGCCCAGTGCTTCAGGAGAAAACATGCTTGCCCACATCATTATGGTCAATGTGGCAGTACCCATGGTGAAGGAGAGAAAGGGGAAAGAGGGCAGGTCATTTCCAACCGGAAAGTGATCCCTGGCGGCGACAGCTGGGGTGACTGGTGGAAGAGAGTTCTCATAACCACACCAGGGAAAAAACAATGATTCTGGGACCACCATTCAGGGGTCTTATAAATAGCCAGAATGGAAATCATTGGTTAAATGTAGCAAAAAATTACCTAAAAATCTTTCCCATAATTATTCCTTAGTGGCTAAAGACATGGCCACTGCTCTTAAGGGATTAAAATGATGAAACTACAACTATTTCCCCATTTTTCCAGTGGCCAGGCTCCTCTTAGTTCAAACAGAAGAGGCAAATCTGAGACAAGAAAGGGAAAACAACCCCTGGGAGATGCAGTCTGCCTTGGCCTGTGACTGTTATAGGCCCTGCAAAGCCCCCCGTTACCTACCCATTGCACTTCCCAGGTGGCGCAGGGGTAAAGAATCTGCCTGCCTATTCAGGAGATGCAAGAGATGAAGGTTTGATCCCTCATCCAAGATCCCCTGGACTAGAAAATGGCAACCCATTCCAGTGTTCTTGCCTGGAAAATTCCATGGACAGAGAAGCCTGGCAGGTTACAGTCCATGGGGTCACAAAGAGTAAGATACGATTGGGTGACTGGGCATGCACGCACACGCGCGTGCGCACACACACACACACACACACACACACACACACACCCCACACACACTTGTCAACTAGATCTTAACTAATGAGTAAAGATAAAGGTGGTCCTTGAACAAAAGAAGTTGTCTTTTTCCCATTTCATCAGCAGTGATCTAGGGCCATTTAGTGTGTTGGCAAACAGCCTTGCACACATCACTATTTCTCTGGGTCATCAGAAGGAGGCAGAACGATAAACAGTGTAGCCCATTTAATGAGGAGAGGCCCAAGGTACCACAGTTTAGAGTATTTCCATCTAATATTCATGGGCTCCCCTGGTGGCTCAGTGGTAAAGAATCTGTGCCCTTTTCAAATTTCTTAGGTTTATAAATTGGTATCCTAAATGTGAATCATCACCCGATGTTTAGGTATTAAGTAACAATATGACATTATTGCCTAAAGTTATTAGCATATTAAAATGGTGCTAAGGATTCATTTCTCTTTCTCATTATGCTAATTTCAGTGAGGAAGAAAGCCTTATTTTCATTTCTTTAGTATATTTTCCTAATTTAAAGTATAACTTTTATAAAAGCATATGATACGTTTTTAAAGTGTTATTCTTTGACTTTCAAATTAAGACATTTCCTCCCAAACTGTGGCAGGAAAAAGTGAGTGTCTACCACTAGAAATTCACATTTGCTTTAAGAAACTGCTAGTAGATGAGGTGTGTGAGAAAACATTTATTTTTATTCTGCAAAGTCTGGGGAGGTGGCTATTTTTAACAAAATGATATTTTGTGAATGTGTCACTTTCACGTTGTAGTGTTAGTACTAAGGGGATTATCCTGCAGGAGGAAAAAAATGACATTCCCTCTCAGCACTGTGCAATGGTTATTAGCAATTTCTCCCTGATTCCAACACCATGTTTCTGTTATAAAATAGCTCCAGATGCTCTTTTCCCTTGAAGGGCTCTTTAAAATAGACACATTTTTAAGTCAGCTTGTGGACACTTTGTATTTCTTTAACAATTTCCATCTTAGAGCAAGTTGTCCATGTTGCAGATAGCACAGAGAAATTAGCACAGGATTAGACTCAACTTGGAATAAAACAATGAAAATCCTGGAACTGGTGGGCTGCACCCTTTTATTGAGAATGGAAAATGTAAACACCTGCATTTTACATCGTAAACTTTCCAGGGCTACTACTCAGCTATTGATCATTTCATTGTGTGTTTCTGTGCTTCACACTTGACCATGAGGATCCCAAAAAGGCTGGATTCTGCTTCGGAATATTTCAGTCATTGTAGGAAAAGGACCACCTCTCACCTGGCAATTTCCATAATGCTACCAAGAGCAGCACCAGACTCATCACACCAGTTTGCATGGCTCGTGAGCTCTTAGCACCTCTAGTTTCCCTCTGCTCCTGCGCCTTCCCCCACAGCACCAGTTAAGACAGCCCACCCACCAGGAGCGCTTTCAGCCCAGGTGCTTCCTCTTGTCTGCCTGCTGTTACGGGCACTGGGAGAGAACACTCTATTGTTCCTTCATGGGAACTAATTTTTATTGTAGACTAATTTTTATTGTAGTTGTTACACCATTAAAGTAGTGACATAGTGTGAACCTGTAGAGGGCAGCTGGCTTCCGCCTGCCCCTCTGTGCTTGAGGGCAATCGGCAGAGACTTCATGGCAGAACCACTGATGGGAGCCGGGGTGGAGGGAAAGTAAGGAACTGACAGGCTCCCACCCCAGACCAGTAAACCACAGTAAGGAACTGATGGGCTCCCACCCCAGACCAGTAAACCACAGTATTTGGAACTGTGGCACTTCTTCCAAGCTTTCCAGAGGATCCCAGTACACTGTTAATGCACTGTATGTTGGAACCATCAGGCTGAATCACACTGGGGCTCATCACCTCTGGTCTGGAATCTGAAATGTGAACTACGGAGGGTTGTTAGTGCACTGAGCTCTCGAGTTAAACACCATGGTTTTAAGTTCTAACTCTGTGACCTTGAACAAGTTCCCTCACTTCTCTAGCCCAGTGGGCTTATCTGTAAAATAATGCCCCACCTCAAACCTCAAAAGACAGGGACCACAATTCCCTCAAAACTTTAGCTCATTCTTTCAGTCTTCAACCGTACATATAACACGCCAAGCATACTGAAGAAAATTCAGAACTGAAGCCAATTACCCAGCAGCTATCTTTCCAACTATCTGAATGTTGGTATAGACCCAGAGTTTAAATACGCATATGTCTACATGTTTGAGAGAATGTTCCAATTTCTTCCATCATCCACAGGAAGCATGGCCACTCCAAGTGGTCAGCAAGAAAGAATAATAAAAAATCAAAAGTGGGGCAAGGCTGAGGACAGATATCAGGAAACATACTCAATACTGAGTTAGAGGAAACAAAGGCAGAGCCAGGAAGAAAACAATGCCAAAAAGGGAGTCAGCAGCCAGGCACCAAGACTGCTGGTAGATAAACTGTGATCCATATTGAGAACCTTCAGTAACTGCCAAAGAGGCAAAGTAGAGGTAATTAGAAAGACCAGATAATACTACACATTTTGTAATCTACCGTGTGAAGTTCTAATTTTGAGGGCATGTTAACACAATTCTTAATGAAGCCATATTTTGAGCCTAACATCTGACAACACAAGTATCTGACCCAATTTTAAAGGCATTTATAAGCTAAAGCTAGAGAAATCAGCTTAAGCTTCACCTTGGGAGGTTAACTTTAGTTTAACAAAAAGAAAAAATGTTAAGGCTAGTCAGACTCTTTTCTCTTTTTCCCTGAAAGTAAATCAAAAGATTTAAGCACATGACATATACAAATAGCTTCAGTATGGTCAATGTGAAAAACAGGCTCACTTGTGTACCATGCTTATAGATTAGAAGACTCAACATTGTTAACATGCCTGTTATCCTCAAGTTGGTCTACTGATTCAATGAGACCCAAACCCAAGCAGACCCCCTTTTTTTCTTGGTAGAAACTGGCCAACTCATTCTAAAATTAACAAGGTGATGCAGAGTATCTAGAATAGCCTAGATAATCTTGAGGGGTTGGGAAGGTATGGAACTGGCCCTGAATCTAAAGTTTGTGGGTCTCTAACAGAAATTTTGCCATAACACCTCATCTTGCACATAAGCCTATCATTTTAAAAATAAAGTCAACTTACTAATTACTTACAACTCATGTACATAACACACTAAAACAGTGAAACTCTATTGGTACCAAAACACTACATTCATAGCATTCCTCAAAGTGTGATCTGGGGACCACCTGCAACAGAATCACCCTTAAAGAGTTTCTTTAAAATATTCAGATTTCCCCAGACCTAATGAATCAGACTTTTAGACGTGAGCTTCAGGAATTTCTAACAAGCTTCCCAGGCTGATACTGATGTACTCTAACATTTGAAAGTGAAAAAAAAAAAGTGAAAGTTAGTCACACAGTCGTGTCCAACTCTCTGTGATCCCATGGACTGTAGCCTGCTCTATTTCTCTGTCCATGGAATTCTCCAGGCAAGAAAACTGGAGTGGGTTGCCATTTCCTTCTCCAGGGGATCTTTCCGACCCGGTGATTATACCCAGGTCTCCTGCACTGCAGGTATGTTCTTTACCAACTTAGAACTTATTAGATTGTTTCCTAAAAGACAGGGGCCTCTTCCTATGTTCACCTGAGCAGAGATGCTATCTTCACAAGATTTTGAAATCAATAAAGAAGCAAGATTTACCTTCTCTGGTGGGTGGTTGGTTATCAGGGTTGTAGCCCTTTCAGTAAATACGTTTGTTGAATACATATTTTTATATCCTGTTGCAACTTCTTCACCATCTCGAAAATCAAGAGCACATCGTGTGACATTCAGAGCGTCAATTAAGGTACAGCGCTCATGGGAGTAGTAATCTTCACTACCTAGAAGATATCCTACAACAGAAATGGGAGATGGAAGTAGTCAGCATAGCATAAAACTTGTTAAACAAATGGAGATTTCAGCATTTAATTGCCTAATGCAATTGATTACCCATGACAAGGCTAATCAAATGACAAGGCTAATCAGAGCACCATTTTTAACATCTCTATATTTGCCAGCATAAGGCATTAAAATGTTGTTGTAAAAAAATTAAAATCCATCCTTCAATCTTTAGAGTGTAAGCTCTATTGTATAACTATCAAAGTGAGTGATTTCAAGTAAACATGGTTTTAAAAATCAGAGGTTAAATTCAGCAAAGGTGATGACATCTTAAACATTTAAAGCTACCTAATGGCTAAAATAGCATGTGGTTAATGTGATTTGTTACAAGTATTTACTCTGAGGCGATCACATAAATGAAGGCAGGATTCAAATAACACTGATATTGACCTTGGCCTACTGGCTTCAAGGTTATGTCTAGAAGGAGTTCTTGGAGGAAACATCTTCAGTCAGATGCTGACACCCACTGGTGAGACACACAAACTTTCTAAACGGAGGCTCTCTAAACAGAACAGGACCAAAAGAGCAAACTAACGTACAGCACTGTAATTAGATTTTTCTACCTACAGTGATCTCAATTTTGTTCCAAATTTAAAAGACATCTATCCCTCAATTTAGACTTACACACAGGAGAAAATGGGTTTTCTCAACTTTACTTGTTTCTGCAAATGTCCCATATTTTCCAAAAATATTAAAATAAGTTGCACTGCATGTTGTTGGATTCTGTTTCTATGAAACACTCAGAATAGGCAAATCTATAGAGACAGAAAGTAGGTTAGTGGTTGCCTAGGGCTCTCAGAGTTGGGGGAAATAAGCATGACTGATAATGGGTATGGGTTTTCTTTGGTTGGGGGGTGGGTGATGGAAACACTCTTCATTTGGATTGTAATGACAGTGGCACAATCCTGTGAATTTATTAAAGATCAATGAGTTGTACACTTCTATTGAGTGAACCTATGGTATGTGAATTACACCTCAATAATGCTATTCAAAAGAAATAACTGTGCTGGACTCTGAGCTATTTCCTGACAAACCCTGCTTATTAATATTAAAGTAAAGATGAGAGACTTTACTGGTGGTCCAGTGATTAAGACGTTGCCTGCCAATGCAAGGGGTGCAGGTTTGATCCCTGGTTGGAGAGCTAAGATCCTACATGTCTCAAGTCCAAAAAATCAAACCATAAAACAGAAGCAATATCATCACAAATTCAATAAAGACTTTAAAATGGCACACATTAAAAAAAAAGCTTTAAAGATGATAAAATTGATATAACCCTTTCCTCAGCTCTGAATATTTCCTATAACCACAATTAAAAGCTTTACACAGCTTATATAGCATGTGAATTCATTTTTAACTAATTTCTTCCTTTTCCATGATTCAATAAATTCAAGGTCCTGAATATAACAAATAACTTGGTCTCAAGATAACTCTTTAAATGGTAATCTTTTATCCTATATGTATAACAGAAAGGGAAAGCCAGTATATTTGTTAATTAATATGCAATAGAATAGTCAAAGCTATGGTTTTTCCAGTAGTCATGTATGGATGTGAAACTAGGACCAAAAAGAAAGCTGAATGCCGAAGAAATGATGCTTCTGAACTGTGGTGTTGGAGAAGACTCTTGAGAGTCCCTTGGACTGCAAGGAGATCCAACCAGTGCATCCTGAAGGAAATCAGTCCTGGGTGTTCATTGGAAGGACTGATGCTGAAGCTGAAACTCCAATACTTTGACCACCTGATGAGAAGAACTGACTCACTGGAAAATACCCTGATGCTGGGAAAGACTGAAGGCAGGAGGAGAAGGGGACGACAGAGGATGAGATGTTAGATGGCATCACTGACATGAGTTTGAGCAAGCTCTGGGAGTTGGTGATGGACAGGGAAGCCTGGAGTGATGCAGTCTATTTGGTCACAAAGAGTTGGACACAACTGAGCGACTGAACTGATGTAATAGAAAAATAAATGTATCCATGAAAATAATTTCAGCTCTTATATGCATAATTAGAGGGGTTAGGGCACTGGTGTTCTACTTGGGGTTAATAACTATTGGTAACACCTTGAGGAATCACTTCAGGTTCTTTATTTGTAAGTATAAACTGTTTTCTATCATTTGGGAAAATACATGCAAAGGATATATTTGATTAAAAGATGTATGAATTGTAAATATTAACAAGTTAGTACAGATGAAAGGATTCTAGAAATCGGACTCTTCATTCACATAGTAGATCTGTTCACAGACTGGACTGAACTGATCTTATGCAACCATGTGGCCAGTCACATGGAGCTGTTCTCATCTTAAGTGAAGTCGCTCAGTCATATCTGGCTCTTTGTGACCCCGTGGACTGTAGCCCACCAGGCTCTTCCATCCATGGGATTCTCCAGGCAAGAGTACTGGAGTGGGTTGCCATTTCCTTCTCATCTTAGCAATCCACAAATTTGACCTTTCAGGCTGAGCCTAAAGAAGGTGGCAGCTGATGCTTTTTTGGGAAAAATGAAAAACTACTTTTTGAACAATTAAAATCTCTGACTGCTATATTTAACAGCTTCATTAAGATATAATTCACACACCATACAAATCTCCCAGTTAAAGTGTACAATTCAATGGTTCTTAGTGCACTAACAGAGACGAGCAGCCAGGCACAATAATCTGACTGGTTTTTACCAGGACATCTAAGTCTTCCTAGTGATAATAGCTCATAGTCATCATGACTTCCTTGTCTGCGAGTCTCCCTTCCATAGGAATCTGAGGTGTCACTCTGTCTAAATCCAGTTAGGCTTAATTCTCATAAATGGTTTTTTAATAAAAACAATTAAATATCTATAATTCTTCTGGTTGCCAGAATATAGGTATTGACCCATCTTTTTGCAAAGGCCTGATTGAAAATTGTCAAAGGATGTAGAGGCTGTTTTTTCCTCTAGAATTTCCAAGATGACAAAGAGGTCTTACATCCAAGTCCTATTTTTCAATGGCTCTTCAAGGATACTGAGGATATATCCAGGTTCACTAAGAAAGAACGCATGAAGAACTTCCCTGGGGATCTGGCAGTTAACACTCTGCACTCCCAATGCAGGGAGACCCAGGTTCAATCCCTATGCGGGGAACTAAGACCCCACATGCCACAACTAAGACCAGGCACAGCCAAATAAATAAATACATACTTAAGAGAAAGAAAGAAAGAAGGCACAGTGATTAGCAATGTCTGCTAGAGAAGAGAGATGGAACAGGACACAGTCTCATGTCTGGACCCTTGCATCTCAACTTTAACCCTGGTTCCAACAAGGCACTGCAGAGCTGTGATTGCATTGATACGGCCCTCGATCATCGCTTTAACCAAAATGGACTCGGGTGCTCTGGCTCTAGCTTCAGTAAAAGACAATGCTTCAAGAAACATCTACAAGACAACCACTACTTTGTTACAAAAATGATGTTTCTGAGGATGCTGTCCACCTTACTTTCTCCCAAAGGAGAAATTTCTCTCAGGTCTAAGAGCCAGAAAATGCTTTACTCTTCTTGAACATCTGGTTTCCATTTAACTTATAAATAATATGACTCTTATAGACTGCTTTTTTCTTCCTTTGGACATAAGAAGTCTCAAACCTCAGAGTTCAATGTGAAGTCCACCTACAGCCATGCAGCTGTTCTGTTTTTTTAATAATTCAGTGTCATGCAACTATTCCATCTTTTTCTACTCACCCTGATTTTTTATTCTATTTATTTCTTTAAAATTTACATTCAGTGTGTGTTCTGTTTTGGATACAGGAGGTTGTAAATAAATGAAGAGACAAGTGGAAAGTTGGTAGCAAGCTAAAAGGCTAGACAGATAAAACAGAATATTCTAACTAGACAGAAAGCAAAACATGAAAAGAACTTGATAGAAAGATATATAGCCCCTGGCAATATAAAGAGATAAACAGGTTGTTACAGTATGGTTTGTAATAGGTTTAGAGAGAGCATATTTTAAAACAAACTATAGGCTTTACATTTATTTTTACAGGGCTATCACACCCATAAAATATTTATTACTTCTTATCTCTCCTATTAACATTTGTTATTTACCCTCCCATTTTATTTATTTACTCTATCTTCCCCAATATAGTGATTTCAAAAACAGATCTCACAGAATGGGGAAAGGATACCAATGGAAAAGAATCTTTTTATCTCCAGGAAAAACAAAACTAAACAAAACCTTTGAACACAGTTCATGAGGAGAAAAGAATATTCTGAACTTTTGTGAAGGAAATATTCTTGTATTGAGTTTTGCCTGAAATTTTTTTTTCAAGAAATCAGTCTGTATCCCCTTTTAGTCATAAAGTTCTCTCACAGTACGGTGGTCTCTGACATGGAGACAGCAGACTCTTCAGAGGACACCGTGTGGTGAAGAACCCTGGTGAAGGTGACTGCCGTCCCAGCACGCCCTGAGCTCACTGCCACGTCTGGGGCCCCACAGTGGTCCTGACTGATGCATTCTGTTTTCAAGTTTCTGCTCATTTCACTTGTTTTATGAGAAAGCTGCAGTTGGTCTGCACTGTTACAGAAACATGTGCATTTCCATTACCAAAGTAGGTATCAAATCCTCGGCGTGTTGGAAGACATTCTTTCCGGTACATTCCCAGGTGCCATTTTCCAACCATGTGGGTAGCGTAGCCTGCTTCTTTTAGAAGCTGGGGCAGGAGTTTTTCATCCAAAGGAATGCAGCTGGGCTGACAGGGCCAGATTATTTGATGCTGTAAACCTGTGTGGATCTTAAAAGACATAAACATGAAATTATGGATTAATGATGTTGAAACATTCTAAACAAGCAGATAAAGGGGTTGCCTAATTTATTGGACATATCTGTGGACCTGAATGTTTAATTCTGTTTCTGTACTAGTTTAAGGCATTTCTAAAAGGCATTTTTATCACTTATTCAAATAAGGTAATAGACATAAATAAGATTTTGAAAGAAATGAATAAAGGCACTCTAACAAATGTTGGATAGTTTCTACAAATATTTGTCCAGGAATTATATTAGAAACCGTTAACTTAAGTCTTCACTTCCTACTTCAAAAGGGTAGCTATAATATGAAGTATGGACCTATCAAGGAAAAAGTGTTCTAATTCCTATGCATGTGAGAAGTTGGTGTTTGATTAGAAGAAGCTTCTATGATTTTTCAAATCTTGAGTTTTTAAAAAGGTATAATGAAGGTGAGGATTTGCATTTCTTATTCTACCTTATAGAAACCATAATTTCAAAAGACAGTGACCAACTTTTCTTTAAAAGGGAAAATGGCCACCCACCCCCCAGGTTAGGAGAGGTTCATACAAGTCTGCCGAGGGGGCAAGTGCCACACACCAACTCTAAGAAATGGTCATGTGTTGAGTCTTGGTGTAACATTAAAATAGAATGTCGACAATTACATGAAAAGGCCATTAAAATAACCCTCCCTTTGCCAGCTATATGTCTATGTGAGGCTAGACGTTCTTCAACAACTTACCAGAACAACATACAGTTAATCTTTCAACAACTGGGGGGAAGGGGCACTACCCTCCATGCAGTTGAAAATCTGAGTATAATTTTACAGTCGGTTGCATCCAGGGATTTAACCAACCACAGGTCATGCAGCATCGTAGTACATATTTAGTAAACAAAATCCACATATAAGTGGACCCTTACAGTTTGAACTCATGCTGTTCAAGGGTCAACTGTACTGCACTGGTTGAACACAGAGGTAGATGTAATGTAATAAACCAGCTGGTTTCTATTCATAAAAAACATACAAAAATATAAAACAATGATCACTCTCCTTGCATAATTCCCTTGTTTTGGAAAACACAAAATAGCATATTTTCCCTAAGCTATTTATGTTAATATGTAATGGGATTATTATTGTCATTTTTCAATGAATAAAAAATATTTAAAAATTTTATGTTAGTTTTTAATATGGTACAGTTTGAAAAGGATAACCACATCAACATAAGCTCTCTGGGGTCTTCAATTTTTAAGCAGGTACATGCTTTGTTTTAAATTCATGGCAATAAAGATATGAAGTAAACACAAAAACAAAACAAAAAACTTCAAACGCAATTAAAAAAAAATGTATTACAAACTACTTACTATTAGATAGCTTTCTCATAAACTTTGACATTGTCTTGAATTTCATTTTTTGTGTGCCTGTCCAGAGCCAATCCTTTTGGAAATGTATTTGCTATTGCTTGATTTCATGATATCTTTCCATGCTCTCCTAAAAGGACCATGTGGAATATCATAAATGTCAAAGCGAGTTCATTTTGAAGGTGATATGTTTGCTAACTTGACAGTGCTTCACGGGCACATCTATATGAAAACTTATCAAACTGTATACTTGAATTATATGCAGTTTATTGCTTCTTGGTGGCTCAGCTGGTAAAGAATCCACCTCAGTGCAGAAAAGCCAGGTTTGACCCCTGGGTTGGGAAGCTCCCCTGAAGAAGGGGCTACCCACTCCAGTATTCTTGCCTGGAGAATTCCATGGACAGGGGAGCATGAAGGGCTACTTTTTTCCATGGAGTCGCAAAGAGTTGGATATGACTGAGCGACTAACATCTAGTGCATGTCAATTATACCTCAATAAAGCTATTTATTTAAAAATAAAAGCGAGTTTAAATTTTCTATTCAGATTTTGTGCCCTCCCTAGGAATAACTGGACCTCTACACTATGCTCCAGATGCCCTTCATTTGCCCTCCAAATCCCCAATTTGCCTTCTGTCCTGTTTTCAGCCTGGGAAATTGACCTACCGGGATCAAATCAAAGACCTTCTGCATCTTCTGGTTCTGAGGGGTTCAGTCAATGGCGAGCCCAGACAGGGGTTGAAGGGAGGGAAGAGATGCATGGCCCCAAGTGGCCAGGTTATCTGTATCCTGCAGGCTATTCCAAAAGTGGCCTTCTCTACAGGATTCTCTGTTCCCAGGTTCTGGTCTCTCCTCTTCCTTTTCTTCCCTTCTGGTCTAGGAGTAGTAACAGCTCCAGCGAGTCATACACTATCTCCTTCTGTTTCCCCAACACATTCACACCTTTTAAAAACAGCCCCTGGGCTGGGACCTCCCTGGTGGTCCAGTGGTTAAGACTCCAAGTTCCCATGCTGGGGGGCGGGGGGCAGGTTCAATACCTGGTCAGGGAGCTGGATCCCACATGCTGCAACTAAAAACATAAAATAAAATAAAAATAGTCCCTCTGTGAATAAACTCTCCTAAATTATCCTAATTGGAATATGCCATCTCTTTCCAACTGGGATCCTGACTCATAGGGATGTGACTATATCCAGGCTGAGAGAGGGAAACATTGCTCTCTAAACATATACAAGCACGCACACACACACACACACACACACACACACCTCTCTCAAATAATAGGATTCTGTCCATGGTTAACACTAGAAGTTTACTCAATAGAAAATTAATCCTGGCTTCAAGAACTTCATAATCTATACTAACCGGCAACAGCAGAGGATAAGGAAAGATAATATTTTACGGAGTTCAAAAGACCCAGTGGAGATAAACATTATGCGCCAATTTTTTTAAATGGAAAGTTCATCCATCACTTGATCTCCGGTCGCGGTAAAGCACTGCCAGGGGACGCTGTGTGACCCGCTTTTCCAAGGCCGTGGGCACCACGCCAGGTGGTCAGCTGAAGCCTCCTCTATTATCTAAAATCCTATGGAGCAGGGAATGTTCTTTTCAGTTCCTGAGAATTTATTCGACAGAGCATTTTTATGGCGTGACTCGGGGAGCGGAAGCCAAAGTCTGGATGACAGCCAAAAGCATATTTTTGGTTTGTTCACACACTGTTTGAAGTGAGGAAGCTGTAGTGTGTAGAGAGGCTGTAAACAGGCAAACACAGACCTGCACTTGAGTTTAGCACCGAACTATAGAGCCAAGCCACGTTTCACGGGGCAGGATGGAATAAGGTGCCGAGAAGAATCAAAAGAAAACATAAGCATCCCCTTGGCAACACAACAGCATCTGAAACAATGCCATGCTAACATCTGCCTTCAGTGTTTGGAGAGCAGGCATTGAGTGGAGAGGGGCCTACAGATAGTATAGGAGGGTCCAAAGAGGTTATTCTCTCTCTGCAGCTGTCTCTTCTTCATTAAACAACGCCTCAAAAAACAGCTTCTCCTAAGATTGTACTTGAATGTCAAGGATTTCCTCCACAAAGGCAAAGAGTCTGCAGAGCTAGTCAAGGACCTGGCTTGTCTCTGGGTGCTTTCTGTGAGAAAACTGCTGGGAAATCTTTGTTTACATATTTTGCTGCATGTAAAAATGTATTTGACCCTGTAAGTTATTCTGTCCCATGTAGACCTTGAATATACTATCAGGGTGGTCTCTTGAGAATTAAAAAAAAAAAAAGCATTCCCCTGGAAGGGGAGGAGAGAGGATGGCTCCCACATCAGAATCTCATAGGCAGTCTATCAATTAACGATCTATTTGGGAGCTCAGAGTGCTGGATTTCAGTTACTCTTATAATAAGCTCGCCCAAGGGCCAGGGAGACCCTGCGACATACATGGCATGCATGTGTGTGCCCAGTTGTGTCCAACTCTTTGCAACCCCAAGCACTGCAGTCGGCCAGGCTTTCCTGCCCATGGTATTTTTCCAGGCAAGAATACTAGAGTGGGTTGCCATTTCTTAATCTATTCTCCATATGATGGAAGGATTTTTGGTTTGTTCTATTGGATTAGCACTTTGACGATGCAGTTATGAATTTTCAAAGAGCCAAAAATCTCTTTGCAGGTGAACAAGGTGGAAGTCTAAAGTCAAAACTTGACATGAAAAGCACAATTTTCACGCGTGTGTGTACTGGCAATGGATGCTATTTCTCTGAACTTCAATAGTGTCGAGATAACATCCAGGGGAACAGAGCAGGATTCCGCCTGTCAGTCTGACCTGAGCACAATGAACTCATTGCAGCCCTGTATTTGGGCAACACCTCCTGCTGCAATACTTGAAAATTCCAAAAAAATGGGCAGCTCTGCTCTTCCACGTTATACACCAGAGAGCCTAAAGGAGAGCTTCATGACCAGAACACAATCACAGAACATGCTGGGGGCCAGTCAGGAGTTCAGAAGTGCCAGCCCGGGCCTGGGCCAGAGCACTACAGGTTTTAACCACGGCTGAGTACCACTCGCGCCACCTTAGGGTTTATCCCTGAACAAATGGATAGTGGAGAATCTGCTCCCTCCCACTAAGCCTTCTAAAAAGCGGTCAGCTGCCCGCACTGCTGACGCCAAGAGCTACAGAACACACATTCTGTGTGCTGGGGGCCTGGCTTTGCCATCTGGCCTAGTCCTTCACAACTCGGGCTGCAGAACTGGCCAGTGTCACTGGCAGTTTTAAGGGTCTATTTATTTTGGTATTGATTAGCGAAGAGTGTAAATCTCTGACTAAACCACAAAGGGATGTTGTTTGCAAAAGGAATAAACAAGGCAAAAGCTGTTTCAGTGCCTTCCTGTTTAAATTATAAATCCAGTCGAGAGCCCAGAATGAAAAGGAAGGACAATATGGAGGAAAAAGAATTTTTAGAAAAGTGATATGAATAAGGAAACAGAGTTACCAGACAGTAACAGCTTATGCTCAGAGTGATTCTTGGAATAACAAACTTCAAATGTCAACCGACCTAAAAATCCCATAAATCAATGATTCATAGTCCACTCAACTCCGAACTTTTTATTCCCTCTTTTCCCATTATTTGGGAAGTAAAAAAGGTAAAAATTAGATTAAAAAAAAAA